TTCAGTTTTGTGCAGGTCTCCAGTTCCAGAGAGAAAATTTGTGTCTGTCCAGGATTAGAGTGAGCAGAAAAGTGCTCTTGGTGTATTGCTTCCTTGCTTCCCTTTTACTCTATTTACTCTATGGGACTGTTTCTGTTTACAAGTTCAAGGCAATACTGTCAAAAGAGTTTGGGTTTCAAAGTTAACTTAGTGTATATGAGGGAATATTTATCTCCCATCTCTTGGTAATCAGGATTGATGGGACTGCAGTTAACATCTTAATATTATTGCTTGCTCTGCAATGTGTAGAGACATGTGAAATATGGATATGTTTTACTTTCTATTGTTTTAAAATTCTTGGCTTTTCTTCATCCAGTATGGCAAGTCAGATGCTGCTGTCTAAACAAAACCCATCATTTACTTGCAATGGAATGTTGTGTGTGTGTGTCAAAATGTGATGAGATGCAATCTGCCCTCCACTCTTTATGGTACAAATGTAGCTTGATGCAGTGGCTAGGGGATCACTCTGTATTTACACTTGTCCAAAGCCATGCAGATTTTAGGCAAATAATGTTTTTGTCTTCTGTTTATATAGGATCATAGAATTGTATAGCTTGGAAAAGACCCTTAAGGTCATCAGGTCCAACCATTACCCAGCTCTGCCAAGACCACCACTGAACCATGTCCCTAAGTGCACATCTTTTAAATGCCTCCAGGGATGGTGACTCCACCAATTCCTTGGGCAAATGTTCCAGTGCTTGACCAAGCATTGGTGAAGAAATTTTTCCTCATGTGCAATCTAAGCCTCCCCTGGCACAACTTGAAGTGCTTTCCTCTTGTCCTGTCAGTTGTTACATTGGAGAAGAGGCTGACCCCCACCAGGCCCCTCAATCCAGCCTTTCCAGATCCCTGTGCAGAGCCTTCCTGCCTTCCAGCAGATCAATACACGTGCCCAGCTTGATGTCATCTACAAACTGACTGAGAGTGCCCTTGATCCCCATATCGAGTTAAAGGTGTTAATCGGGACTGGCCCCAGTGCTGAGCCCTGGGGAACACCAGTTGTGACTGGCTGCCAACTGGATTTCCCTCCACATGCTGGGCCCAGCAATCCAGACAGTTTTTAACCCAGTGAGCAGCAGAACTGTACACCCATCCAAGCCCTGAGCAGCCAGTTTCTGCAGGAGAATGCTGTGAAACAAGGTGTAAAAGGCTTTCCTAAAGCCTAGGCAGACAACATCTGCACCCTTTCCTTCATCTACTAAACGGGTCGCTTTGTCATAAGAGGAGATCAGGTTAGTCAAGCAGGACCTGCCTTTCCTAAACCTATGCTGTCTGGGTGTGATCCTCTGGTTGTCCAAGGAGTGTGTCCAGTTTACCTTCCCTAAGGAATTAGGAAATACCATTCTGACCATCAGCCAAACTTCTGGAAAGGTCTCGTGAGCCAGTCTCTCCTGGGAGATGCAGTAGAAGCAGGAAAAGGATGCCCTGTAAAAAGAATATCATAGTATGCAAATATAGGCTGTGTATTAAGAGCAAAAGATTGTAGCACACACAGTTGTACACCCAGAAATTTGAGAGGTGAGGAGGGAAAGCAATGTTTTCCTTGACAGCATTTTATAGAAATTGTGAGGAGGCTTTATAGCAGGGAACAGCCAAAAGTCAGAAAAACCCCAGAAGTTTGTTTGAGTGCTGGGGACTGGCTGTGCTTGGGTGTCTTGCCTATGAAAATGTTCAGCTGTATCAAATAATCCCAAATAATCAGCTGTCCATCTCCTAGACTATTAGTTTTCTCATCTTGGTGCTGCTTCTTGAATTTGTGGAAAGGTTTGCAATGTCAATTACAACCAGATGGTGTGATAACTCATTTGATGTGTCAAAGTGCTCAGATGGCAGAGCAACAAAACATGGAACACTTCTCAGAAAAATAAAATAGGTTTGGGTGCAGGTTTGAGGAGTGATTTCCTCTGTGCTGGACACTGGGGAGTGTTTGGGAAGGGTGGGAGTTTGCTGGGGAGGAATCAGGTCCACATGTTGGGAAGATACCAAGCATGTTTAAGAGTCCCGACTGATTTCTCTCAAATAGATTATCAACACAGAATAATTTCTTTTTTGTCTGTTGTTCATTTAATTTGGAAATATAACAAGACTACCTTTTGGTGCTTTTCTCCTCTGCCTCTTGGGGATGTACCAGATATAGATCACCTCTAAGCTATTGGGCTTTTTTGGTAAAATAACTCATCTCTTACAACAATTGCATATATAATTCAAAGAGTCAGTTAATATTATCTTCTTAAAATTGTAAGTAGCTGTAACACTGTCCTTAAATTTTCTTTTCCTCTCTCTTCATAAAGAGTGTTTTAGTAATCAGTGGGCTGGGTAATTTCTGCTTTAGCTGTTGCAGTGGGGAGAGGGCAAGACCATAAACAGTCTGCTATCAAATAATTGTGTCCTAACAAAAGAGATGGGTTTTGCCCCCTATTTTTATTAAACTCAAGCAAAATAGGATGTGTAAAGGCAGGCGTCAAAAGGACTCTGCTTTACATTCTCATTTACTTTAGTGAGCGCTGTGGGATATCATGACTGTAGGCCCTTTTAAGGGAGAAATTATCCAGAGTTACAGGTTGTTTGGAATATTTGCAGAGCTGTGTAGAAACCAAATTGCTTTTTATAAAGCTACTGTATGTATATCATTCTTTTCTTGTGATAATACTGAGCAGTTTTTCATTTGTGGAGCAGTATGAGCTCACCCATGAAACATAAATTTTAAACCCATCTTTTTAAGATTCAGAAAACAGGAGCTGTGTCAGTGTTCGTCAACACTTGGTAATGATTTCCCAGTAAAAGAGGAGGAGGAGAAGAAGAAATCCCCATGGGGAAATCCTTCTGAAATGGGTGTGCTTAGGCATGCAGGAGTTGTCCCATAACGATTTCAGGGGAAGCAGAAATCAGTTGTTTGGGGAATTAGTACTTTGATGTGGACAACCTTACTGATTGTGCAGGCTCTTTACATACAGAACTAAAATATATAAGACTTCTAAATGTTACTTTCTTCTTCTTGTAGCAATCTAAAAACTCCCATGGAATAAAACCAGACAAAAAAGTGTGAGGAAGAATGTTATGATTTATGTTAGTTTTTCATTGCTGGGCCAGTTTATTTTCTCCAGTTGCTAATACTTTCCAGGTCCTGAGCATCCAAGTGAGCTTTCCATACACACACCCTCATTCCTTAGTGGAGATGAGGAAAAACCTGCAGTGATTCACAGCATGCTCACTGTCTACCCTGGCAATGTTAGCCATACCCACAGTCCTTGTTGGTTCAAAGGGATAGCAGCAAACCTTGCTTTCTCTGCCAAAATATACAAATAGAGTAATAAAAGCCAAGTTATCAGTGTCTCAGAAATAAGTGAAACCACTGTATTGTTGTTGTATGTGCCTTGGAAAGAGCGGTTCCTTGGAGATCAACACAGGATGGCAAATAGTTAATCATTGCTTTATCAAACAGTAACCATCTCCTAAACTGAGGTTCTGAAACTAACACTACAAAAATGCCAGAGGAAAGTTCCAGTCTGCTTGTTTGTGACTGCGAGGGTGGTTTTTACTGGTTAATGAATCCAAAGAGTGTTTGTCTGCTCTTAACAGGGATTTAAGAGTTCAGGTAATTCCACTTTCAGCTCCAGTAGTTTGGCATAAGAATGTAATTCAGAAATGTGTGACATGGTAATGAAGGAATTCATGCACATTCCTCATACTTTAAGAGGATGAAATGTTTTCTGGTTTTCCTCTTTGGTCTATATCTAAATAAACATATTTGTAGTAAAGCACAGTACCCTGTAATGCCTTGCAAAATACTCTCCCCATTTCTCAGCAGAATGGATAAAAGAGACTTTTAGCTGTTAATCTTAAGAAAAAACATTTGTAAAACTGACATTGTGGTATTCAGGTGATGTAGTTCTTGTGTAGATGGAATGAGATTTTTTGTGCAGTGCCTCACCTTCCAATCCTGTACTTTCCCCAGCTAATTCACACAGTACAATTGATTTCCCAGCTGGTAACTAGTTTTGTCATTGTTACTTCTGTGCTTGTAATTGCACTTTGAGGTTGGCAGGTTGGCTCAGGCTGTGAGATTCCCAGATGATGGATGTTTTCCCAACAGGGAGAGTGCAGGGACAGAGTGTCTCTCTGGTAGAGCAGGAGGAGGCAGTTGGTGTGCTGTGCTTGTGTTCAGTGGTGTTCGTGTGCAGCCACAGCCTTTCCTGGTGTGGTAACCAAATGATGGTCTGAGATACCCTGATAACTTTGACTTACCTAATAAAATCTCCCACACAGCATTTAATAAACTATAGCCCAACCTTGGCTTTTTCACCTTTTGACATTTGATTCACTTTAACTGCTCTTTCTAGGTGTGCTTTGGAGACCATCCCTATGGATGAATCTACTGAGTACACTTCGCCCCAGAGCTGAAAATCAGCCTGCAAAAAAGTACAAGCTACCCAAAAGGGTTTGGCAGAGATGTCCTGGTAGATTTGGGCTTCATCTGCTGGCCACCATCTGCCATCATCTACCTTTGTTCCTGTTGAAACACTTTGGTGTACTGGAGTCCACAAAGAGTTTGATGGAGTCTGTCTGGGAGGGCTGTGTTGATGGATGCAAAGGACTTAAGGCTAGCTTAATTGTTTGGGATGTAGTTATGGCCAACAGATCAACAGCTTTGGGGATAAACCAAATAGCAGGACAGCAGCAAATGCAACTCAGCAGTGCAGTTATTCTTAGGTGGTGCCAGATGCCCATGTGTGTCTATAAATAGCCCTATCCATAATGTGACCATTGTCCTGTGTGTGCTCCTGGAGCCACATGGGGCTGCTGCAGGAAGCAACACATGCCTCCCACATGGCTAGCAAGGGAGAGGATGGTTTCTATCCCCCTTGGCAAAGGTGTTGCAGTGCCATTTTGGGTGTTGGGACTGCTCTCAGCCATGCTGATCCTTGCAAGTGGTGACTCTTTCTTCTTCTTCCCCCTTCTAGGAGCTGAGTGTTGTGACCTGCCCTACTTCTCTCTGCTGAGTGTGGGAGCAACCTGAGGAAGATCTTGGAGCCACCTGTACTGCTTCATGCAGTTAAAGTAAGGTTAAATGTTTTGGCAGCTCTTTTATGTATACACCAGGATTGAGATGAGGGGTTTGGGACAATGGGTTTGCCCATTGTCTAGCCATTTGTCAAACTTAGCCTTGACAGGAGGAGGAGATGCTAATATCAAAGCAATTACAGTAATATGAACAAATTCAACAAGCTATTTTGCCATAAAATACAATCTCTTTGTGGGGTGGGGTTAGAAAAGGGATATGTGGTGTTGCCTCCTGTATCAACCCGATGCCATGGTATAAAATAGCACTTAACACTTAAAACATCAGCTGTTTTTCCCTAATATTTTAAGACAGAGCTTTCATGTCCCTGGGGCAGCAGGCATACGGTTACAGCCCCAGGATTTCCACAGGAGCTGGCTGGGATCAGAGCTGAGGTGCCTCCTGGTCGGTGCAGCGGCTATTGGTCTGTCTGCCCCGGAGCAGTCGTGGTGTTGAGGCTTCTGGGTTTATTGTTCAGCTAACACCAGCTTCTTGGTGTGGTGAACCAGATCACAGGATGGATCTGACCTAGAAGCGAGTATATGGTTATTGCAATGCTGACAGGAGTTGTTTTGACTCATGGAGTTACACCCTTTCTCTCCAAAAAGACTTGAATGTGCAAAAACTGGTAGCCTGAAGCAAAGAAACTGCCAGAGTCTTGCCTGGAAATGGGTGCTTGCCATGTGTGAGCTCTGTCAAGGGAGGGAGGAAGGAAAACCACTGCAAGCTCTCTCTTTACTCCTCCCACTGTCCCTAACCTGTTTACCTTCTGCAGTGCCTCGTATTTTCCATGGTCTTGCCTATGAGACCAGTGCTTTAACGAGACCGAATCCAAATCGTTTGGTGTTACTGAGCTGTGGCAACAGCTGGGTGGATTAATCATAAACTGTTGGTACTTTTAGAGAGACAAGTATGTATCGTAATAATTTGGGTTTTCCTTTTTTCAGTGGGGTTGAGCAGTGGAATTATACCTATTTTCAGACCCTGAGAAAGAAATTAAGTCCTTGGCATGATTATGAATGGAACCTGCTTTATCAGGAATGAATAAGTGGCTTGCTGAGAGCTGTCTTCCAAGTTCATCATGTTTAAAGGAGGAATGCACGACACCAGCTGCAGAGAAGCAATTTGTGGCTTGATTTGTCATAGTATTTCTTAACTTTCTGCTAATTTGGGGAGTGTGGTGAGTTGCAGCAATCTGTGCTCACTGCTGAGGAAGATTCCAGACCCTTTCTGGGGGTGACCAAGGGGGATGACTTTTACACTCAGTTGCAGCAGTGAAATCTCTGAGGAGGCCCAGCACAGCCAGCAAGAGCTTCTCACCTGAAGTCCTGCCTGGGAACCAGCCTCTGCCTCACGTCTGATTTTTGGGTGTGCCTCCTCTGAAGGATCTGGGAAAAAAAGAAAGGCTAATTTGGAGTTCAGGAGCAGCATTCTCATACCCTTTCCTTTTTCTACCTGCTGGTCTAGTATTTCCATAATTGTGTTTGTAATGACAATCTTTTCATTTCATTCATAAAGTGGTTACTGCTTAATGAACTTCATGTTAATGAGCTCTGTAACATTTAAAATAGCTGCATAACTTGAAAAAAAGAAAAAAGCCATCAGCAATGAAGGGACGGATTTCCACTCCCCGAGCTTAATCCTGTGTTATAACATAATTGTGGAGAGTTGCCTGGCTGGGAACAGCTGCACAGCGTGGGCTCTCGCTTCTGCAGAGCTCCTTGTCCCTGAGCTGGGGTAATAAATGATTTACTGGGGAGGCTGGGACCTGTGGGCACTTAACCCATTCATTTCCTGAGGGACCAGCCTGAAAGGTCACTTTGTAAAGGCAGTGGAAAGAAACAGTTTTAAGTGTCTGCAGAATGTGGGGTTTTGCATATGAGCATGCTGCAGAAAGGCTCAGGTGCAGAAAGTGGGGTAGTGGAACTGGGTACAAGCTGTGCTTACTTGGATTTTCATTATTTGATGCTTTAATTTATTTTAAAATGGGGCTTGAATGAGTGTTCTCTCTTTTCTGGGCTAGGGATGTAATGTTTTCTGTTGCTTGGGATTTTACTTCCTGTGGGATATTCCCAGTGCAATACAGTGCTCTGGGAGCAGAGCTCTCATTTTCCTTGCAGGGAATGCCACACCAAGTTACTCCATCATTTCAGTTGCTGAGTGAATGATGAGTATTTTTTGAGTCTGTTGTGCCTCAGAAAGGATGTTTCAGCAAAATGGCCATGTTCTCTCATTGCCTAAAGTGTATGTTTGGAGAAGACCATTTTCCCATAGTTTTGTAAGTTGAAAGAAGAGGAGCAATTATGAAGAAACAGTTTGTAATTCTGCAGTGTCAGATGTGGTCATGCTGTGCCACAGGGAGCGAGGTTAGCACAGGTACTCCTGTAGGAAACCTGAAGTTTCTGGTGAAATTTTCTTCTGGAGTAAAGTTAGCCAGGCGTTTCCTGAGTAAGTCTGTGGTGCCTGGGGCCCCAGTGGCAGCATTTGCAAAATGGAGCCTAAAGGGAAAAGTGAGTCTGATGTATTCTTCAGAGAAGAAAAGCACATTAAAATGTTGGGCACTGAAGCTTCTTAGACCAAAATGCAAGCGGAAACATGTCCTGCATCTTAGTCTTGATGCCATTTTTTTCCAACTCTACCTGTGGTTAGAACTCTCTGCTGTGGAGAGGTAAGGTTGGTGCTTGCCTTGATTAAAATATGCATTGGTTAACTACCTGGTTTGTAAATGCTAGGAAATATTTAATATTTGTCAGCTTTAAAGTGTGTGATGTTTTGGGCATCATGGGTTGTTTTCAATTGCAGATCTGTGTTTTTGGGAATGCAGTACAAGTGCTGTGGTTTGGGAAGCACAGAAAGAAGCAGGGCCTTACTGCTCAGCTCTAGGGCTTGGGGACTTTGTTTCTTTTACTGAAACCATCATTGCTCAGCATAGTTCCTAAAACAGCAGAGCCTGGAGAGTCAGAGAATAGTGAAGTGGAGAAGGTTTTAGGACATGTGCTGTAGTAAGAACTGTGGGAGTCAATAGAGGCTTTGCTCACTTCCACTGCATATGTAAGGCTGTAGGCATCTCCTCCCTGTTGACAGCTCTCCACTGTGTTTATCCTTTTATGCACTGGGGTGAAGTACTCCCCAAAGCCTCTTCTTGCCTCCTTCCATTCTTCACCTTGTCTCATATAATGCATCTCTCTTTTCAAAGATAACCAGTAACTTGCATGATGCCTCAGCTGCCCATTTCTTTACTGAGGATTTTCATGAAGTTCCTGGTTAAACCCCAAAGTCAAGAATCACCCCTGCAAACATGAGCTGGTTCTCATTGAGAGCTTCCCCACAGTTTACTGCCAAAATGTGTATTCAAACAAGAAAATGCATAGGAAGGTATAAATGGATTTTGCTTATTTGAGGAGGCAGCTAGAATGTCTGCTAAGGATTTCTGGAAGTTAATATTTGAGCCTGAGATAAAAGTCTCATGCATACGTGAAACAGCTGCCCCAGAACCTGTTGGAGGACTTAATTTGAGTATAAACATATGTGTGCTCTTGTGTACATGCTGCTCTTTAATTCAAGTCGACTGCTAGGTCTTAACTTTATTAGGATGTAGCTACTTGAACTGAAGATGTGGTCTGTGATTTTTATTTTATTATAGAAGCATGATGCCTCCTTTTGAAACGTTGTTTGGATTTTACAAATCGGTATCTTAAGTACTGTTTGCCTTTAGTAATATATTAGAGGAAAAAATTTACAAGTGAGGGCAGGGTTATATCGGATTACAAGTGAATTGCTTGACAGTATGTGTGTGCTATAAAATGGGAAATTAATTACCCTGTGTTGATGACCCATGGACATTTACAAAAGGCTGGTCTTTCTGTAGCACAAATAGATTCCGGAAACAGGAAAGAGGCTTATGACAAGAGGATGAGATCAGTTTGTATAATTAGAGAAGGCTAATAATCCTTTTTTACTCTCTGTTTTTCCAACTTTTACAGTATCTTTCTTTATTTGAAATTTGGCATATGAACTGTAAAGAGATAGCTGCTGTGATTTGAGTTTTTTAGGTTTGTTTTTTGTACCTACTAATAGGTGAAGGGATGGAGCAGGGAAACACAGAGAGGGAACTCTGCCTTCCCCTACATGGTGAAAGCGCTGCTTTTGTTAACCCAACACTGCTTCATATCTTCCCAGGCTTTGGGCAGGAATTAAGTAATCCAGCTTTATGACAATTATGAGGTTGAAATGATCCAAAAGAAGAAATTTAATGTTGAGACTAAGGATGTGTGGCTCCGGAGTAAGACAGGGCTGGCAAAGGTTTAAGCTTATTTTTTATGTGTGTGTGTGTGTCTGCTTGCCTGTATCTTAGCTTTGTGTTATGCTTCATTATTTTGGGGAGGGTAATGGGAAAGGTTTGGGTGAGGCAAGTGGTGGGTGCAGCCCAGCTCCCAGCCCAGGAACAGAGTGGTGCCAGTTCCTGCTGCCAGGAAGCTGAGCTACATTAAGCAAAGCGAGTTAATCTATATCCAGGGCATTTTATTAAATCATCAGTCAATTAAATTGGTGATGCTCTGTTAGCTTGTGTTGCAGTGAGGCTCCAGCCCCTCTGCAAGTGCTCAGCTCTGCAACTCCCCCACCGCTGCTTGATGGGCTCTTGTATGTGCAAGCCACAGTACTGTGGTTTCCAGCAATGTAAAGAAAAAATCCAACAGATTTTAGGCAGATTTTGCATTTAAATATGTTCTTTGAATTCCTTTTTTCTGGAGGGAGAAGATTGTTGTGAAGTTTCTTTTTCTTTTTGTGAAAGGAGTCTGTGTGTGTCTGGTTTTCCTGAGGGTGGCTTGCTAGGTTACCTCTGTGCTGTTGGAGGAGAGTGATGATAGATCCAGAACAGCAGAAAACATCTTTAAACTTCCTTTTCATCCCTCCCTCGTACCCAAGACACTCCTGTTTTATCTGTAGTTGAATGGCAGCATATGTTTTTGTTTGCAGACAGGACACAGCTGGGAAGCAG